AAAAAAAAAAAAAAAAAAAAAAAACCTGCACTAATCTACCACAATTATGATAGATTACTATAATACATCATGGTTACTATGGTCAGTTTAGGCAGGGTTGTCCTGTCCTGTTCCTGGAGAAATACCTTCCAGCTGCCATGTGTATGTTCCGTTCCATTTTCTTTTTTTCCCATTTCCCCACCACTGGTTAGTTTCTGTGGATTAGTTCACACCTGTTTCTGTTCAACCTGATTAGTTCTCTGTGTATTTAAGCTCTTGTGTTTGGTCCAGTTTAGTTGTCTGTTATTGTTGCATTCTACTTGTTTGTTTCATGCATCCTGAGTTTTGTTTAATTAATTTTAATACTGCTGCGAATAGATCCAGCTTCAATTATTACATTTTGCAACAGAATAACGTACCAAATTACAATGTATCTAGCAGCAAAGAGAATCATCCTCCTCTCACAGAGTAACCAGTCTCTAGAAAGGCACACACATGACTTTTTGGACCTTTGTCATCTTGTCCCTTATGATGATGACTGCCTGTGTGTGTTATTCTGGACAAGTCTCAACGCAAAAAAACAAGACTGCGCTTGCCCAGAAACGAGGCTTTAGGGACTTTCATGGAGTACATGGAGTGGGTGCTCCTCCACCATGGTTCCCCCTTCACTATCTGTGACTGTGAGGAGGAGGTTAGCACTACAGCCGCTGCCAGCAGCCCAGCTTGAGTCCACCACAGAACATGAGCCTGAACCTGCTGTCTGTGTCACCAAGCACCATGCATCTAGAGTCTGTGTTTCCACCCTGCACTGAATCTCCTGTGTGTCTGCTGGATCTGCCCAGTCCTGAATCTCCTGTGTCTCTGCTGGTTCCGCCCAGCCCTGAATCTCCTGTGTCTCTGCTGGTTCTGTCCTGGGGTGTCTATACTGTGGCTCCACCTCAGTCCTCCGAGCCCTGGACACCACCTTGGCCTTCCGACCCTTCAGTGCCTCCTTGGCTCCATGCTACCTCGACTCCACCAGGTTCAATCAGTCTTTGGACTCCACCGGTCTCCCTCGTCCCTCCGGCTCCACCTTGGTCAGTCATCGACCTGCTTCCACCATGGTCTTCCACTCCTCTGGCTACGCATTGTTCCTCCATGCCTCTGGTTCCGTTGGGCTCCTCCTTCCCTCCGGCTGCACCTTGGTCCTCACTCCATTCGGCTCCACCCTGGACTGCCAAGCCCCCGTCTCCACCATGGTCCCACTAGCCTGCGGCTGCACCTCGTCACTCCAGGCTTCCACTGTCACCCCGGGTCTATGTCTTCTCAGCTTCTTCTGGGTCCAACTCCTTTGGCTCCGTCACAGTCTGTAGTCTTCATGGTTCTGCCTGGAAAAGCTCCATCATGGCTCCTCCCTCTCTTGACTGCACAGTGGGCACAGCACGGCACAGGTCACTTTGGGGGGGTTTTCCACTGTGCACACTACCTGGTACCTGGTATTTTTTATCAGTACCACCTTGGCCGAGGTACCAAGCATGCTGTACCGTTACCAAAATGTGACGTTTAAACCCTGCTGATCACTGATTTGCCGGGGAGAATCGCCACTAGCTGTGTCATTGAACACGAGACACTAGACCCGCTAGATTAAATCAGCACAGCCAGCAAAGATCGAACACAACTTTTTTTGAACGAAGGCAAGAGTTTCGAACGAGCACACTTTTTTAAACAACAAAATAATGGTTGTTTCGTGGTCTGTTGATGAAGTACAAATGTTCCTCTCATTGATAGCCGAGGAGCGGATCCAGCGAGAGCTTGATGGGACGACGCAGAATGAAAACGTTTTTCAGGAGGTCGCGGCAGTAGAGGCGGTGCAACTATAACGACATGTCTATAATCCCGCCCACACTCTAAAGCGGTACTAAACTGCAGTGGAAACACAAACTGAGCTGAGCCGTACCATGCAGTGGAAAAGCGCCATTATGCTCGGGGTTCCTACCTGGCTTTTTCCACCTTCGACTCCTCCCTGGCTCCTCCTTCCATCATCTCCTCTGTGGTGGTTCCCTCAGCCAGCCTCCCCTTGGTCATGCTTCTCTCCAGCTCCACGTCCACGTCCACCTCCTAAGCCCCCACCCTCCCTTCTTTTTTGGACTTTAGTTTTTTTTACAGCTTGAGAATGCACCTTTTTGAAGGGGGGGGGGGGCCATTTTCCCGCCGCTTGTTAGTTTCTATAGTTTTGGATTAGTTCACAGCTGTTTCTGTTCACCATGATTAGTTCTCTGTGTATTTAAGCCTTGTGTTTGATTCAGTTGAGTTGTCCATTATTGTTGCATCCTTTTTGGTTGTTATGTCCTGTGTTTCATGCATCATGAGTTATTTTTTTATACATTTTAATATTGCTGCAAATAGATCCTGTTTCAACTACTACTTTTGCAACCAGGTGTGGCACTGGCAGATTCTAGATCCAGCCCTGCATCTACACACCTGTCTTAATTAGCTGCTTCAGGTGTGTTTGATTACAGTTGGGCTGGAGCTGAACTATGCAGGAAGGTGGATCTCCAGGAACAGGATTGGGCACCATTGTGTTAAACAATAGAAAGGGTTAAACAATATAATTGTTTTCAAGCAATTTAAACATAACCACATCCCAGACAGATGACAGGTTCTGAAATAAAAGTGACATTCAAATCTTCATAAATAAATAAGTTTATGCACTACCAATCATTCCAGACCCACCCTGAACTTCTTAAGCAATGATATATTCTGCTGCATAAGCTAATTTCAGCCTTTCCCAAATGAGCTTGCTCAATAAGAAAATTTGCTTTTAAGATGGCAATGGGAATTGCACCTAGCAAGACAGTTTTGTCAGGCTATCTAGATGATGTTAGCTAGTGTTTGCATATATGATATGGGATTTTATAGGGTTAGAACATAAAACACAGCAATGAAGTTGCTACATTTTTTAAAACAACAACAACAACAAAGCACTGACTGATTCAATAACATAGTTTGCAGTGCTTTATGTAATCCCAGTAAGATCTTTGCAAAAATGCAACATCTGAAAAACATTTCATTCCAAATTTCATTCTAAATCTGTACAAAACATACATGGAAAAATAGTTCCAGAACAAAAGCTCAGTAAAAGTCGGTGGTCACTGATGAGCTGTATTAGAGCTCATGCTAAACTAACATTATACAAAGCAATTATAATTCTTACACTTTATTTTGATAGTCCTCTTTAGACATTCTTCTAAATATAAGTAATTATATGTCAACTAACTCTGTTTAGAGTATTAGTAGACTATTAGGTTAGGGTTAGGGATAGGGTCAGTAGAATAAGTTGATATGTACTTGCAAAGTTACTTACAGTTAGTAGAATGTCTGTTGAGGGACCATCAAAATAAAGTTTTAGCAGATATTAAGCAGACTGTCTACTAATACTCATATTGACTGGCAGTTGACATGAAGTGTTATAGTGAGCAGAATGTCTAAAATGGGCCATCAAAAAAGTGTTACCAATTTGGACATCAATTCATAAGCACAGGTAATATTTTTGCAGATTTACCGACTGTTACTTTAAACCTGTCAGATCCAAGGGGTGCCTACACTTTCTATTCCACAGTGACCACAGTTTCACAGTGTTTAAGTGTGTCCAGATCTCAGACCCACCGCTGGCTTTGGCTCAGTCCGAGAGGCTAGCGCTGGCTCACTGCCACAACCTTCCTCTGGGACCATCTCCGCTGGCTTCTCTTGGATCTTACTAGAGATCTCCTGCCGAATCCTACACATCTGCTCCTGTAGCTCGCTAATTAGATTCACTACACTCTGTCAGAAAGGAATAGCGATAGGGAAAAACAGATAAAAGAAGGCAAGAGAAAATGGAAAGAATGGATTATGGGAAGCAGACATGCAGTGGTCTCCTTCCTATTTGTGTTCTTGAGGTTACTTCAATAATTAGATTATAAAATCACCTTTGTGTTTTCTAGATGTAAGTCCTGATATATCCTTTCCTCGAGTGCTTTTCTTTCCCCAACCATTATCAATCATGCATAGCAAAATTACATAATATGAATAATAACTATCAGTCAGTGTCATTACACATCAACACTGTTTAGTACCACTACAAACATCAGGTTCATAGTTTAAATATAAGTGTTAATGTATTTTGCTGAATGGAACTTTCACATAAAGTGATGGGAAGATTTTTCTCTAAACAGACTGTCTGCATGAGGTGTCAATTCATTAACTCTTCAAGCAAATAAACTCATACTAGTTTAAAAGAATATAACATAAATGTGTCTAAATGTCCCATTAAAAACAAAAGGTAACACTTTAGTTTAGTAACCAATTCTCACTATTAACTTGCTTATTACCATGCAGCATACTAGCACAATGGCTGTTTAATTGTACTTATAAAGCACATATTAATGCCTTATTCTGTATGACCATATTTTAGATCCCTTAATCCTACTCCATACTTAAATTTACGGTAGTTGTTACCTTACTAACTATTAATAAGCATCAAATTAGGACGTTACTGAGGCAAAAGCCGTATTAGTTAGTTAACAGTGAGAATTGGTCCCCAAACTAAAGTGTGACCAATCAAATTATTTTATAAACGTTATAAATATACCTTTTTTATTATTATTATTATTTACAATGTACTCAATAACCAAAACTATTAAAAAGTTATGCATAATCACGAGATTATGCATAACTAGAAATAGTTTTTCATTCTGCTTTTCCAGGTCACTGGGTTGGTTTAATACAATGGAACATTTCAGGATCATTCATGAATATCATTCAACAGCCCATCTACAAGCCTTTAAACAAACCACAATGGGCTTTCTGAAATATTCTTTTAGACGAGTAAATATCTCACTGACATTTCACACAAGCCAAGGTCTCAACTGTAAGAGCTTTGTTAAAAAGCCAAGTAAATACATTTATTTTCCAGGGTATATTGTATGGATAAACAAACCAGCCTCCAATGCATCATCTGTGTATTAATCTTTATAAACATATCAAGTTAACTCAAAATGTAATGCATAAAGCTGTCATTAGCTGAGGAAGTTGGATTTTCTGTGTGAACCAAAATGGCTTCATAACTTTTAGTATGCCAGGCACAAAAAGCTGTGACAAAAATAACCGTAACTGCAAAGACAGGGATGAAGTTTATAAAATGTATAACGTTTATAAAATGAAATTAAACTGTCAAACACAGCTTCCTGTAGCATCTTTAACAGCAAAGGAGCCTGTGTTCTAATAAAAGTTTAAAAGTTAATAGTTGTATACTGTGTCCAGCACGTGGATGAAAGAACATTCATGTGAGATGCCATGTGACACCAACACCATGGTAAACTGGCCTATCTATAGCAGGTAGAAAGCCAAGACCTTGTGTGTGTGTGTGTGTGTGTGTGTGAGAGAGAGAGAGAGAGAGAGAGAGAATGGCATGCCACTGGAATGCTCATGGGTGAATTGGTGCCATTCTTTCACTGTGTGAAGCCCAGCAGTTGTCAGACATCATGCTGAGGTCATTCTTAACACTCTATGCTAAAAACACTCTGGCTGTTTGTCAGTTAGACTAGACTGCTCAAGACCATTACACTGAAATTTGTTCTGCTTGTATTTAATGAGGCCCATTATGGTTAAATGAAAGGTACACAGCCGCACAAACACATGCAGCTTATGTCAGCACATCATAATGTCAGAGGAAAGGTATATTTTAGATCAACCAGTTCTGTCCCACAGTAGTCACTCTGAACATAGTAATTACATGAAAATAGCACACTGTAAATTAAGACACAAATTATTTGACATAAGTCCAAATACTTATACAGGCTTACACAAGCACTATTTTGTACCAGTAGCCTTTTGTTTTACATTTAATTTCTTATAGTAGAGTTTACAAGACTTTGTTTGCAAGATTGTGATTCAAAACACTTATTTTCACTGTTTTTAATACAACAGTGTTGTCTGGATAGGTTTGTTTTTATATTCCACTTTATGTATTGATAGACTTAAGAAGTTTTTTTTTTCCTTGCATGTGAAAATAGGTCACATCATTTCATTTCACTGCCACCCTGTTCTCTAAATCAGTATCAGCATTGGGCATTAAAAATACCCATTTATGTGGTAAAAGTGGTATAGATTTTGAACCTTTGCAATTCACAAAGTACTATATATGTTATATATATATTTTATATATGTCTATATAATTATATATACAGCACACACCCACTGATTAGTAAGCTTCGGGGGATAAGACACTGATTCAGTGACAAAAATAAAATAAAATGAATTAAATAAATAAATAGATAAAATGTTGTGAGACACAAATGATCATGTTCATAATGTAACCAAACTATGTTCTTACTTCATACTGCATCTTTTAATCTACTTTGAGTTAATTCAGAATCTGCTGAGTTTTATCTTAAATTTCATCAGAGTTTTACCTCAGCTTTATGTTGTCTCTCAGCACTGTTGATGTGTTTCTCCTCCATGTTCCCCAGCTTCAGTTTTAGACAGGACACTTCTTCCATTAATCCCAGCTTCTGTGACTCTAGAGAACTCCTGTTCAGAAGCTCCTATGAGAGTCCACACAAATATACATGTAAACACACACACATGCACACACATAAGAGAAACTAAGGAACTGCACTCTTAAGGAGGCACAAAGTCCGTTCAAAATCTCTGTACTTTGCTGTCCCTCAATGGCTAAATATACACAGGTTACGAGGGCTATATTTACCTATTTCTCTCGCAGAGGCTGACACATGAGAGAGAGCTTGAGAGTTCTGATCATGGTGGGAAAAGTGCATTACATTTGAGTATAGTAAATAGAAAGGGTGTTAAAATGCAGTGATTGAACATATCATATTATGTCAAATTTCCAATCGATGCAAAAAACTAAAACAAAAGACATTTTTTGGCACATGTTTGGCACAACATACCTGTGTGAAACAATATTTTCCCAAATGAAGATGATGAAATCCAAATGCATATCAACCCTAAGTAATGATCACCTGAATGCTTGCCTGAAACATGCCAACAGCAGCTGCAGCCCTGATTACAATAGACTGGCTGAATTGTTTCATTGCAAATCAACTGAATAAGTGGTTGATTTATTGCTATAAAACTTTGAGCACTCTTGGTGTAAAAAATAGTAATAATAATAAAAGCAGCATCTTGCCTTCTTTGATCATGATCGTTAAACTCAGACACTGAACAGGAATCTATTTCACAATACAGAAGCCTGAAAAACTATTTCAAAATGTAAGTAGCTAGTGCTGAGTTTTATGTGAGCTTTGAGTCTTTCAAAGACAGCATATGGAAAATATTAGGCCCATGTCACTGGAATTGGATTTGCCTTTGAAGGCCAAAACCTCAGTGACCACCGGCACATGCCCTAAAAAGCTTCCCATCTGAACGCTGGAGATTTAATCAACCATAGAGCTTTCAAAGCAAAGGCAAGTTAAACAGAAATATGCAATAAGCTTATGATGAAAATGAGATTTACAAGCAGTGGAATGTGAATTTAGTCCTTGAAAATGGTATGAATAAGTACAGGAGTCTTGTCATGCCTTGAACGATCTTATTTTCATAAATGGTCCTAATGTCTCTAGCAGGTCTACTGAAACACCGAAGCTTCAAGACTACTCTGCTTCTCTCACTTACTTTCATACTACACTTTCTTTTTTTTAGCTGGACACATGAATATTTATTTTCCCTACCCCCTCCTCCATCCTTGTCTGACTGATAACAGAAGAAAAAGCTGGTTACCTGCTTTCAACTAATTCAATTTCAATGTCCATGTCGATGCTGGCCCAGGAATACCACCGCTACTTAAATATTTGAGTTGCCAAGGTGATGTAATGGCCAGTTTCCTGGAATCCCACCAAAGAATTTCCACACAGATGCCAAAGTTCCTTCTCAGGCACATCAGGTGCAGATGTTTTTCTACTAATGTGAGATGGTTCCCTAGAGTAGCTATTAGATTAATTTAAAATAATTTAAAGTTTAAAGACCAAAACTAGAGGAACCAGATTTTTATATTTCCTGAATCACAAATCTCAGAAGAATGTCCAATGTAAAGTCTCTATGGTATTCAGATCTCTAGACATTGCTCAGGTCCCTGAAAATAGACTAACTGTCACACCAACCCTTTTAATGCATGACTGCTCATTTACACATTTACCAAGCCTATTAAGAAACCGGACCTTCCCAGTTAGGGTGAAGCAATGTAAGCAGGTTTTAGGTTTTAAGCAGGTATGATAGTCCTAAACAGCAGATGACAATGATGTAAATGTGTAAATGTTTCAGTGCTCTCAATCATCATTTGCTTTTTGAATCTGACATCGTCTAATGTAGACTTTGCAAAGAGGCAAATACTTTGATGTATTTAACACAATTCTTTATTGCTTGAAATAAGTTATTTTAAAAATATTAAAATCATCTCAATGTCTTTTTTTTTTTTTTTGTTAATACATATTACCAATACCTGTTGAAGCCTCTCCTCAGTAGAGTTGAGCTTGTGCTGATATTCCCCAAGAGAATTCTCCAGTCAGTTTTCTTCAATTATTTTATGCTAAAACTGAAAAGTTTCTGCAAAATGTCTTCATAAAAATGGACATTTATGAAAATGATGTTCAGTTTTGTGAGCAATTTGAACAGATCTGTGTTCACAGCTAATATAAATTCATTTTTTATTCTTCTGATATTGCCCACATCAGATTCCAGAATTTGCAATATCTTCCATATAACTATTATTACTGTAACTTAAAAGCAATTTGATGGATTTCAAGTGTCAGTAGTCATCAGGTGCAGATCACAGCTGTAGTGCTCTAAATCTCAGTCCAAACATATGCTGATTGTGTAAAAATATCTAAAAATAAAAAAATATATTTTTTGAAAGTATTAAGTTGATGCAGTAAGTGCTTTTAAGGAAGAACCGGCCATTGGATTTGATAAAGTTTGACAGGCTAGTAATATTAAATAATTTTTCTTCAAGGCACATAGTAGTAAGTACATTAGATATACGTGAGCAGAACTGTATATTTTGCCATGTCTGTTTATATCTGTTATATTTGTATAACCTGTTTTTTTTTTTTTATATATAAATTCTTATTACAGTGTCAGTATGCGATTTAGTGTTTTCTCTACAGCTAGCCATGACTGTGCAGTTATATTATATTATATTATATTATATTATATTATATTATATTATATTATATTATATATTATTTTGTTTTCTTTTTTTTTTTTATAAAAAATATAAATGTAATCAACATTTTAAATACATAAATACAGTGTTCTACAAACCTCAAAGGATTCATAGTATATTTCTAAAAAGTTTACATTTCAGAGGCTGTCAATGTTGATAATGTACAGTAGTTCTTATTCAAAAAATATTACATTGGCATCACACAATTGTGATGTTTAAGCTATTTATTGAAAAATTCATACTGTCTAGATGCACCTTAACAAATTAATTGTAACAAATTGCCCCCATGTTTTACCTGTAACACAAGAGACTCTTTATCTCCTTCTAGACGAGACAATCGCTCCTGGTAGCTCTCACCATTGCCTGAGCCTTGCACATTGACCTGTGGTTCACAGGAGGTTAGAGATTTGACAATCAACAGAGAAGAATGGGAAACACTATAAATCTTGAAGCGTGAGGCCCTCAGCTACCATTAAAAATGCGTACAGTAACTGGCTGTGTATAGTTTCTCAACATCCTGTATGATACCATTTCTATTAAATATGTCACAGCACTTTAGCAAAACTTCACTATACCCAGCTCACCTAGGGTTTCAGAGGAATTTCTTAATAGGTTTATTTTGATAATAAGGTTTTTGTGCACAAGCTCCATGCAGTTAAAGCTGAGACTCTGTGGAATATGTCAGTGATGTGTGAAATACTGTACTAACAAGATTTGCATCTGAATATCTGCTCTAAGCAATAATGTAAAACAGTCAGTGGTCTGCATGATGTCAAAGAAAACTTAAAAGAACAAGAATGGTTGTTTTGATGTTTAATTAAATGTGTGTTGTTGTATGCATGTTCACAGTCATTTAAATATGTTCTTAAATACAATGTGTGTTTGCATTGTATAGGTATAAAGGCAAGAGGAATCTGTAAAAAATAGTATGCTTTGAACAGAGACCTAAAAGAGACTTCAGTTTAAGCAATTATACTACTGCAAGTCTTCTAATCTGATTCTATTCCAAGAGTCCTGATATTTAAAAACACCGGAAAATGTCACTATTTATGTCACTTCGGTTTGGTCTGTTTGTAGTATTCCAGACCAGATTATTTAAGCAGTGTGGAGTGGAAGCAGAGCAGAGCAGAGCAGGTAGTTCTATTATTTTACCTGGAGTATGTGTTTTTCTTTTCCCAGAAAATCTCCAGCATACTGTATGGCACCATACAGTATTGACCTTTAAAAAAAAATCGGTAACACTTTCTATGAAGCCCGTATTTATAATACATTATAAGGGTACGTTTAAGGCATTATAATGAGTGCATAATGCATTATAAAAAACCTTATAATATGTTGTATCATCTCATGAATATTCATAAGTACAGTTTTAATATATTATAATATTTACTTATTTGTGGTTATAGCTTTTAAGAGTATGATGATTTATAACACAATGAACACGTTGCATCCACTTTTACAATGGATTATATTTCTCATAGTTATAATGTATTATAAGTCTCATATCTTGCCATTTTTCTTATGCTACTTTACTTAAAGCGGTCAAAGACCACTTATAAGTAGTAATAATAATAATAATAATAATAAATTTTATCAGATATCAGATCAGATGAATGTGTAATATGACACATTTGCTTTGAACTATTTTTATTGTAATATCAGTTTGATTATTTTGATGGTACCCTTTAAACAGCTGTTGATAAGTGACTCTGCAACTACATATCAACTAGCGGTCATTAGAGTATTAGTATGTCTGCTACTGTAAATATTTGCTAACACTTTATTTTGATGGTCAACCAAGTACGTTTTTTGCAAGTACGTCAACTTATTCTACCATACTAGATTCTATCATTCTTGAGCATACTAATACTCTAATGAGAGTTAGTTGGCATGTAGTTGCAAAGTTGCTTATAGTCGATTGATTAAGGGGACCATCAAAATAAAATATAACCATATAAAACATTGCATTTTTTTCAATTGGAGTATAAAGCTCACATCAATTAATTAACATTAGCTCCACAGGAAACACTCAAATAACACTCAACATCTAACCACTCACAAGCTGTAGTAAGATACTGTGCAGATCTTAAATAAACAATGTCAAGATATGATACAGTCCATTATTCTGTAAATGAAGTAGATTTAATATGGTGTTCATTGTGTGTTATAAATAATCATACTCTTAAACTTATAACCACAAATACGTAAGTATTATGATGTATTATAACTGTTGTTATGATTATTCATGAGTTGATATAACATATTATACGTTTTTTTATAATGCATTATGCATTCATTATAATGCCTTAAGAATACCCTTATAATGTATTATAAATACGGGCTTCATAGAAAGTGTTACCAACAATTCTAAAGGTACTTACATTACTAAAGGCAGAGGTCCTGACAAAAGCTCAAAACCAGACAAATTGGTGCTGGTTCACAGATAACGACTGATATGTTTGAATGTTCAACAACACAGTCTGAGAGATGTGCCGATGCACATGAGATATTCAATATCTAGACCTGTCTGCGATCTAAATGCTGCAGTGTAAAATGTGTTTTGACTGGAAGTGGCAATGACATACATTTGTGTACTGTAAAACAAAAGAAAGAAAGAATATAAAAAAAAATTCAACAACTTTGAAAGTAATTTTCATATGGGTGGCATAAGTGGGGTCCACAGTCCTGCAGTTTACCTTCAATCCTTATCAATCTAACCTGGCTCCAATTTTCTAGTAATCCTTAGACTTTGATTAGCTTGTGTTTTATTAAGGTTGGAGTTAAACTCTACAGTGGACCTCCAGGACTAGATTTGAAAAACATCGTGGGTTGCGAGGGTAACCTTGGTTCCCTGAGAAAGGGAGCAAGACACTGTATCTGCTGATGTACTGTAAAGAATGCACTCAGCATGGCCGGTGTCTGAAGAATGTGTCTAAACACAACAATTCCACTGGCCGATGACAGTCCTTGATGTCACTATCGGTGCGCCCAAGAGTAAAAGTTGGGGTTACACTTTATTTCGATAGTCCACTTTAGACATTCTATTAACTATAAGTAACTTTGTAACTAAATGTTAACTACATGTCAACTAATTCTCATTAATTTGCATCTACATGTCTACTAACTCTCAGAGTAGACAGGGTAGGTTTAGGGTTAGTAGAATGTTGACAAAGAAAGTGTTAGAATATATTAAGCAGACAGTCTACTAATACTCTACTAACTGCTAGTTGACATGTAGTTGCAAAGTTACTTACTGTTAATAGAATGTCTAAAGTGGACTATCGAAATAAAGTGTTACCAAAGTTGGTGCCTACAATGTACATAATCAATGTATTTGTCTGAAGGAGATGTTGCAGACAGGCCCAAAGCATGGCACCCTGGCCTTGCGGGCCAGCTCAAAGGGCAAAGCTCAAAGGTCTGGCTATGTCAGCTCCAACTGCTAGACACCTATTGGGATATTCTCCCAGGGATAACATTTCTAGTTCCCTTAGCCTGCCTCTAAGGGGAGCAAACATATAATCTAAAAAAACTCTACCTATAGGGAACCACAGGGGAGCTACAGCTTTACTGCCCAAATATAATGGGGGAAAGAAGGAGAGATGTCACTTCTCTTCAGCCATTTGTCTCGCTTCAGTCACCTCCCTCAGATCCTGCATTTTTGTCCTAGTGTCACACCTTCTCTGTGCTCTACTCCTCTTCTGAAGTGGCAACACACTCCCTCTGGCCCTGCTTCCGGTCCTCAGACCCTGATGAACCAGGTCTCTCAAAGATCTTTGGTAAAGATTTGGATCTGCATGGGATAAAGGCCCTGTCCCAAATGGCACCCTAAACCCTCGCGGCATTCCTCTGAGTCCGCACTTTCATGACGTAATGCCGCTTTGACTGTCGGGTAGAAGTCTGCTGCGGGGCTCGGCAGAAGTGCGGATGGAGGGTGCATAACGGCCACAAAGGGGGTGCTCGCGAGAAGGTGAGAACGGCACATAGAGGAGGCCACCATCACTGCCACAGAATGACCAATGGCATCGGCTCTCTGTTATATAGCTTAAAGAGCTAGATCTGTGGTGCTGCACAATTCAGCAACCACCTCAGTGGACAGTCCCTGCCTCTTATCCAAACAAAGTATGGTTTAGATGGTTGGAAGCCTCAAAGAAGATGCATCACTTTGAGAAATTTAACCCGTGAGCATCTCTTCTGTGGGAGGCATCCTCACATATCCCTGCTCTCTCAATGCCTCTATATTTGCATAATTCAAACAATGGAAGAAATAAATGCAGGATGAATATGGTCTCCTCCACAATCTCTCTACTTCAGTGTGGAGATCGGGAAGAAATGGAAGACTCACAGGAGTGGGACGTCTATGGCCCGATAGAAAGCACCTGTCAAGTCTGCCACAAGCGACTTCCTGTCTCTCACGCCTCAAAGCTAGATCTAATTTAGCCATGGTGCAGGCCATTACATCCAGCAACTTCTCGTATACAAGACTCAGAGGCTGGGAAAGCTAACTTGCATCATCCTTGCCTTTCCTAAGCCATATCTGCCTCTTCCTTTTTGGATGGTGCCGGTAAAGTGCTATCGGCTGGATCAGAAGACTCAAGAGATAGAACTAGAGATGCACCGATCGATCGGCCAGGGTTCGGAATCGGCCGATTTTCCCCATGATCAGCCCGGATCGGTGACCGGCCAGTCAGTCTCACTTCTTTCCAATTCCGAGCCGATCCTTTTTGTTACCAGCGGCACAGGCAATAACGTCAGCCGCGCATTCTTACTTTCTTCTCTCTGACGACCCCTTCTCTCACACACACACATCTCATTCGCTCCGGTTAAATAGTGCTTGTATTGCACATTATTTTAGTAATTCCCGCAGGTTTCGCACTTACACCAAAAGCGCGCGCACCACCACTGATTTATATTAGTGGAGCGCACAAGCCGCGCTCAGTCTCAAACAGCTTGTGAGCCACAAATACCAAAATGAGTGGCTAACTGCGTACTTAACCTGAAAAACTTAGTTTTATAGCTCATTGCATTTATTTGTGCTGTTCTTTGCAATTTTGTATTTGTTCTTATTTTATTACTGACTTTTTACTTGTGTTTTTATGAAAATAAAACTTTGCGTTGAAGAAAAGTAGATTTTTGTTTGTATATACTGTGAATTACAGTTCTTAGAAAGAAAATCGGTATCGGCAAAAATCGGTATCGGCAGATCACACTAACAAAAAAAAAAGGAAATCGGAATCGGCCAAGAAAATTGTAATCGGTGCATCTCTAGATAGAACATCCTGATCCAGCAGATCGCATGAGGGGGTATCAGAGAACCACAAGAGAGTCATACCTTTCTCAAACAAACAACTCCTGAAGACAAAAAAGATGATGATGTACATTGCAGGATCTCACTTATACTCTTGGGTGCACTGACAGTGGCATCATGTACTGTTGTCGACCAATGGGTTTAGACACTTGCTTCAGACACCCGTCACTCTCAGGGGATTCCCCTAATAGCGTCTCATTAGACGCAGTGC